GATATTTGACAGGTATGCATATCAGCAATGCAAAACTTGGTAGTGAGAATTATGCAGACACATTCATTTTTGTTAGAGTGGGCAGACATTCATGTTCCTAAAAGCAGTTTTCAATGCTAACAGATCCCAAACAACTAAAAATGATCACTTGTCATTTGCATCTGACTATAATGCTATGGACCAAGAGCTGCCATGATCAAGGAGGTATTGCTACTATGTAGTTCCATCCCATAGCCCGCATGAGAATGTCACAATTCTGCAGCAAGGGAGTACCTTTGTAAAACAAGGTTTGGGAGCTAAGGAGGGAAAATGACTAAAGCTGAAACCTGAAGCATTGTATCATGTTACCACTCTGTCCACTCTTATCGGTACTTTTTGGTCCATAAAAATGGCATGTATAATGTGCCAGGAAAATACTTGTTGAGAAAATCATATAATTTTAATCCATTTAATCCATTGGTCATTTTTATCAATAGATAGGTATTTAGCTATACATTCATGTCACCTAAAACATATGGAGTTACGGCAAATCTGCAGTGTTGTTACGTGCAATGCAGCTGCTGCAGCCTGACCAGTTCTCATACCTGATACATAGTGTAAATTTATGGTTTATTCTATGTGTTGAGTGGTTCCGGTACATGTCGAAGTGCACTTTTGAGCGTTTCACATGGCGGGAACAGTTCCTTCGCGTAAGCTTCCAAAGATGTCGCTGTCCTTTCAATAGACCACCCTGCATTTCAGTATTGATATCCAGTATAATCCTGATAAATCTTCTTGTAGTGGGTTATGTGTATTTTGTTGTGGTTTAATCACAATGACATTTTATTATCCATGTAATGATATGCACATGCAGTCAAATGAAGCTATTAATTTTTACACTTGCAGTCTGGAAATTGTTTCTCAAATATTTTATGCTTTAAAATAATTTTCTCAAGTGGTGCATAACTCTTACCGACCACCGTACACGAAATGCTCAACATATAGCAACCTAAGTGCAGTTACAGGTGTTTGCATTTTGTTACGAACAATCGCTGGTAATAAACCTTAAACAGCGTCACCGGGTATGCCAGTTACCAAACCAAGCAGAGGGAGTGGCACGACTCCGTGTACATACCCGGGGCGTTACAGCCAACAGTGCTCCGGTACTGTTTGCTATAGCGCACCGGGTATGGGATGTGTACGTTTTACTGGTACCATTGTATGTTGTCTTTTGAGGTTGACCTGTCAGGTCGGGTCAAACGAAGTCAGATCACATTCTTGCCATGCCAACATAGCTTTGCATGGATCACCAGAGTAAACCTGGCAACAGCCAAGGTGTGGCATCCTTGGATTGTGCCTGACTCCGGCGGACCCGGGGTCGACTCCAGATTGAACCAAGGCTTCTAGCCATCGGTGCGTTGACTCAAACAGAAAGCTGGCAACCTGAGATATGTATCCTGGCAGCTTGTATGTGTACAACACAAATTACAGTCCTATGTGTATAGTCCTAGCATTATCAGATGTCTTCTCGCGCCTTTATAAGGCCCCTAGCACGAGCTTTATCCCATTGGGTCGGACTCCGAGTCGACCCAATGTTGTGCTATGTTGCTGTGGGTCAGGGTCGGAGGCAATCCTATGTGCTAGGAGCCGAGTCGGGAGTCTTTTCCGCTGGTGTGATATCAAGCGTAGCTATGTTGTTGATTGATGTTGACGTCCAAGTGCTCTAAATTTCAGCTCACTGACGTTGTCTGGCGCGCAGTGACATTGATCTTGAATTACGTCGCCCTTACCATCTCCCGATTATAATATTTGTGCGTAGTGAAAGGTCCACTGACGTTGGATCCGTCATACAACCGATTTGATAGCTTAATTCGAGAGAATATCACGAACATTGATGGGATGCAGTGCTATAGGTGTTGCCATTTAGAGCCGTCGGACAAAAGTATTTGATAAGCATAGGGCCAATGGCGGCGGTGGAGCGTCGCCTAGTTTCCACATTTCACGCCAAGCGGACTCCATGATCGAAGCTCGGTCTCATCACAACATCAGGGCGTTGACGATAAGACAGTATTGCGGTCCTGCTCGGGGATTCCTCGAGCAGCCACAGCCTCCCGTGCCCCGTGTTGGCCCTGCACGGACTGTTGGGGATGGCTCGCTGCGGATAGACCTTTGCCCAAAGTGCGTGCAATGCCAGCAGTCTCAACCCTAAATCGTCCGTGTTGAGTCAATGCTCGGTCGCTTGGGCACTTTGGGGACGGGGCAGACGGTGCACTGTGCGAGCACCGGTGTTCTACATTCCAGCTCTCCTTTGTAGGCTAGAAGAGGTGCGACTAATTGAAATGCACGCACACAACACCTGACGGGCTTGCCTGCCGAAGTGATATCCCGCAGAGCCATGACCGGGATGACCAGTGCCGGTGATTTTGCTCCGAAGGGTAGGTAGTTTGCTATGCTCGCGTGGCCGCATGAGAATACATGGGTGGAGAGTATAGTCGTCTTTTCCAGCAGAGTGGGAGCGATGATTGCCGTCGGAATGCGCCCAGAGATTGCGAGGCGTCGGTTGAGCTCAACACAGTGTCAAAATGACGCGGAATTCAGAAATAATGACCCTGAAAACAGTCTGATGACGGTCGTAAGGTACTTTTTATCGTCCCTTTTGAAAAGTCTGATTGATATCAGTGGGGAAAAGCTGACTGTTAACATCATACCTCATATCGATGACGTAGGCATTCCGGCTTCGCAAAATGGTAAAAAATCGTCTGCTTCATTTGCGCTGTTCACTCCTCAAATTTCTGAAGAAGTCTTGAGCTTACACAAGGGCCCAGGGTCACAGAATGGAACCGAACCTCACTGAAAAAGTTACTCTGCGCTGTAATCACATGGGATGAAAGTAAACTGACCAAAAAGTCAATGCGGACGCCAAATGGTCCAAATGGTTCCGCAATGGTACACGAAAACTTAGAAACGGCGGCCGTCTGAACAATCAAGCATGGAACAAAAATGCACGACTTGGGTGTTGTAGGTTGCATTGTACTGTCAGAACTCAAATGCCTCTTAAAACGTCACCTTAAATGGTTGATATGTGACTGGAGATGCATAGAAAAATACACTTCATTGTCAGCTGTGGAACAGATGTCAAGGGACTGGGAAGGGGAAGAAAGGGTAAGGGCCGAATAGAAGACGGTTCGCCAATGCGGAGGGATGATGAGCGCCAGCCGAGGTATTCTCATGCAGGTTTCGTCGCCCCCCATTCTGCAGAAACGTCCTAAGAATAGCGATAAAGAATTTAAGTGGACGGATTTGCAAAAAATCGGGGGGATCGTGGTTTGGCCTGGCGGTAGACTAGAGCTTAATCCGTTGAATTTGTCGGGCTTTATTGTTTAGAGGATATTGATAATATAACAACCGTCCTCAGTGACAACCAGCTCGTAGGACAAGTTAAAATAGCATGCCCGTTTGTGTGGGCGATTTTGCAGGATTGCCTGGTAGTAGGGGTATCAAAATGCAAGTGCTGAAAGCTCGCTATGTCTGAAGGCTCGCTCGCTATGCGTGAATAACTTCGAACCCTTACATGGTTATCAGTGTGAACGCTACCAATTCAAACACTATCGTCAGGTCCCCGGATACGCCAGTGGCTGTAGTCTTCAAATACCAGTGTATTGGGATTTGGCTGTTCCAAAACTCACTACATTTCATTCGAAGTCTAAAGCCGCCGTTTCGCAACTAGTGAATGTCGAAGCCGTACTGGGGAATCGGTTGCGGGCTTGTCATTTGTGGGATGCCTGATTGGGCAAGATTGGGCCTGATTGGAGAAAGGTCCCGTAGATGCGATCACCGATAGCAATAACTTCACCCTCTCCCGGATTCGCCATTTTCTGGCAACGTGAACCGATAGAGGGAGGGGGTTGATGCGGCCCCCCCCCCCCCTGTCGTTTCCAACCAGGGACAGAGCCTCGCGTAAAAAGCGATTGGTTAGGTTCAATGAGATCTCGCCATTTGTAATAGCTTTTTGCTGCGAGCTAAGTGATTGGCCCCACTATTCCAGGTCATTGGTAATTTTTCCCAGAAAAGCGCACGATTACAACTGCGTAACAACATGCGACTTGATCCAGCATATGGTGCAATTCTGAGTACATTGATGTATAATTTTGTGTGTTTATAATTTTGCGTGTTTTTAGCATATATTTATTATGTAGGACCGTTGATGCAACGGTGTCTGCCTCACGCGTGTGATCGGCGGATGCGCGCTAGCCGCCCGTCACCCGCGCTAGCCGCCCGTCATCAGCGCTAGCCGCCCGTCACGCGCGCCTGCCGCTCGTCATCCGCACTGGCCGCCCGTCACCCGTGTTAGCCGCCCGTCACCCGCGCTAGCCGCCCGTCACCCGCGCCGGCTGTGAATAGCCATGCAGTGTTCCTGAAAATCCTTCGCTGCTCGTAAACGGGAAACGCTAGAGACATGTTTTTCGTGTCAACATACGCACAATGAGCGGTACAGAGGGTACCAAAATTTGGGCTCAGTTGTACGAAATGGCGGAGAGATATCCTCAGAAAACCGTGGAGCATTGCCCCCCCCCCCCCCCCCCTTCTCATCATGGCGAGGGTTAACCACAGGCACACTTAGAGCGTTTTCCATCCGTTCACTAGATTCTTTGGCTGGAGAAGTGTTTTGTGGATTGAACGACCAAAGGACCCTTGATGTTCATTTCCTTCAAGAAAGGAAGATCCGAAAAGTATGCCAAGAAAACTCGTCGAGTAGATAAATTGTATTCTCGATTAGATTGCAAAACTAGAAAAACCTGCTCCCGTCCTTATTTCAAAAATGCGAACCCATACCCAGGTGGCAGGTATGGCCGCAATGGGGATTCCGTAATCCTGCAATATAATCATCGCTCTCCCTTCCCCTTGGTAATCAAGAATCAAGAGACATGCCATCACGCTGGTTATGCTCAGCCGTGTCAAAACCATGATCAGTGATTACGCCGAGTTGATGTTCCCCTGAATCGGTGTTTCGTCCTTTACAGGCACGGCGCCACGGTGTATGCAGTAAACCAATAACAGCAGCCGATCGCCAGGATGCGGACAGTGACGACGTGGGTGGATAAAGTCCACGATAAGGACAAAAATGAACAACCGTGAGTGTTGCTTTGTCCTTGTGGCCAGCCAGGTGTGATATGTCAAGCTCTGTTGTTCTTGCACGTTGTTGTGGGCATGGTCTACCAATGATGGCTGTCATTGAGGATTCAGTGTTTCCTGTGGGTTGTCCATGCGCAAGTTACGACTGCTTGGTAGACGTAGCCCTCATTTGGTTTGTTATACGTGCTCAATGTGGACTGATGAACTCTCGGAACATCTCATTGGCATTGTGTTCCAGGGATGTGGTTTCCTATTCACTTGGGGTAGCTTCTCTTCCCACCTCACCCCCAGCTGAGAAGAAAGTGGGTCGAATTTGGGGAGAAACACGTTTGTTGGCGTGGTTTGGGGCGGATCTCGTTACTTTCACTGCTCAGCCCGCCCCGCCCCGGGCTTATTTTGTGGCACTACAGCCCTGATGCGCTTTGTACTTGTTTCTCCACAGCTCAGTGGGGTTATGTTGTGGTTTTTCCAGCATACACGACATGTGTTTCCACCCCGATGGCACGATGCTGGTGGTGGCTGCTGGGAACCGGGTGCTGGTCTACGACGCCGTGGACGGATCCCTCATACAGCCGCTGAAAGGTGACTGGTGTGGGACACCTTGACCCCCCCCCCCCCCCCCCACACGGTCGCCGAGTGATGTGACGGGCGTTTATCGGTGTGTAACGCCGTCAGTGGGTCACTTCTAGATGGGCGGTGGTGTTGTGATGGTTGGGGCGTTCGGCTATGTTCTCGCTGAAGTGTATGCCGTGGAAATTTCCCTATAAAATCATTGGAAGCTAGAACTTTTATTGGATATTAACATGTATAACTCGAGAGTGACCTCTGGTAACGCAGCGGAAATGTAGTATCGTATTGGTTCTTCGTGTTTTCTTTTAAATAACGTCGCCAACAGAGTGCCAATAGAATCTAGAAGCGGCGTAAGAGATGGTGACACAGGGGAGACTAAACATGTCTGGAAAAGCTATGAGTTAGAACCCAGGTGTCAAATTTGTTTTGCATTCGGATTCGGTCGACCAGGAATGTTTGGGAATCATGCAATTGCATATAGCAGTTGGCTGTGCAATATGCGCCCACCGCTATCATATGTATGATGATATTGGGCGGATATACGACATCATATATGATAGTAGTGGACATATATCATATATGTGATGGTAGTGGGCATATATCGTACTGCAGTGGGCTGTGTAGTCTGTGTCCACTGGTATCTGTAATGCTCTGCTCAATCTGTGCGCGTCTTTTGAACACGCTGAGACACCTGCAGGAGACCCTGCGCTGTCAAAATCACTAGGCCTTTAGTGTGGACCCCAGGGGTGTATATTCTCTGGGACAGCCAGCTGACTGTTGTAAGGGAATTTTGTGGTGAGCTTGTGAATAGCGTTTCGGTGATGTTTGCCGGTATATCATGAAGAACTCCCTGCGAAGCCTTTCAAGGTAATCGTTATGGCCTAGCTGTCACAGAAAGCATACAAATGTGATATTACCATATGCGTTCATAACTTGTTAACGCGGCTTAAAATGGTTTTCAAGTCGGGTTTAAACCTACGATCAAAACCATTGGCATTCATAAGTTCTGAAATGTCTTCCTAAACGTCATCCAGGTTAAGCATGACGAAATAGGTGCAGTGTGTCGAAAATAATTCACTGTGCCTTTGACGCCAAGGCTGCGGAATATTTGCCATTCATTCTCCGTATGCGCGCTTCACATAATTTCGCATCTGAAAGAATGTAACTCACACGACCACTCCAAAAGCGCGTGTCTTGCCGTGTTGTTTTCCGTGGTATCATCAAAAGTCTCGTCTTTCGGAATATCTTGCATTTGTCATTGCCCCGACGACGTACCCTTGCATGTCCCTGTGCGGAGGCGGTGCATCACCTCACGTGTCCGCGGCCCGGCAGGACACACGGGCAACGTGTACTGCGTGGCGTACAGCCGCGACGGCAAGCGGTTCGCGTCGGGCAGCCAGGACAAGAGCGTCATCATTTGGGCCACCAAGGGCACCAAGGTCGAGCACGGCGTCTGCCAGATCGAGGGCATCCTGCGCTACACGTGAGAAGGAGACGCCGCGGCCGGCTGCGGTGCCGTCACTCGGGTCTGGTGCTCCGCGGAGCTGGCGTGGAGCCGCACCTGACGGCATGTGGCGTCATCTGGTGACGTGTGACGTTATCTGACGGTGTGTGACGTCCTCTGACGGCACGTGACGTCCTCTGACAGCATATGACGTTATCTGACGGTGTGTGACGTCATATGACGGTGTGCGCCGGCATGTGACGTCATATGATGGTACGTGATGTCATCTGACGGCGTGCGTGCTGTGTGCCGTGACAGAAACGCCGTGTGGCCTATGCCGTGGCGTGGCTGCTCTGAGCGTCCCGCCCCGTCGGCCCGGCAGGCACAAGGACGCCGTGCAGTGCATCGCTTATAACCCGCTGAGCCTGATGCTGGTGTCGTGCTCGCTGTCCGACTTCGGCCTGTGGTCGCCCGAGCAGAAGAACGTCACCAAGTACAGCGTGCCCAGCCGCGTCAACAGCTGCACCTGGACCACCGACGGCCTGCTCTTCGCGCTCGGCCTCATGAACGGCAGCGTCTCCATCAGGAACAAGGTGGGCTCTCGGCCTCAAGAGATGGCCGGCGTCTCCGGGGACAAGGTTAGGCTGCCGTGCCTCATGAGCATCATGGACCGGTTCAGCTAGTGACCGGCGTGTCAGCGCGCTGGTGGTGCCGGAGCATGCGAGCTGTGACCGGCGCTGCTCCCGTTTTACCACGGCGCGTTGTCTGCGCGCGTTCCGTTCGCTGCCGCTGTGTCGTTGACGGTTTGGTGCTCACGTGCGCTGCAGCAAGGGGAGGAGAAGGCGCGAATCGAGCGTCCGGGCGGCAGCAGCTCGCCCGTCTGGCGCGTGCACTTCTCGCCGGTAAAGGAGGACGTGTATGACGTGCTGGCGGTGGCTGACTGGGGCCAGACGCTCTCCTTCTACTCCGTCTACAGCAAGGACTTCAAGGTGGCTGAGGTACGCCGGCCGGTAGTGCGGGGGCGACAAATGCTGCGTGTTAGCTCAACTCTCCCGAATAGTGCGCATCGGCTGGCCTTGGATCGAGCCCGTGTGTTGGCATTGGCAGTGCATGACGACGAACTCTTGTACTGGCGTTGATTTTGGTTGTTTTTGTCGTGTGTTACCATCAGACAGACCGAGTGACGAGATCGTGTTGTACTGTTTGAAGCCGGTTTAGTGGTTTCCAACGGGATTTAGTCCTTAGTCATGCCACGACTGTATTACACACAGCCGACTTAACTCTGCAAGACGACATGAAATGTACATGATCAGTAGGTGCTATCTCACATCACGCTCCTACCTATTGTCCATTTCCCTGTTCCTTGTTCTCATGGTGACTGTGACTGTGAAGTTCAAGCCGCGATAATCCAAGCCTGCGTCACGGACTTCATGATGTGTAGTGCACCATGCAAGTAACCCATTCTTCATCACGTATGGTGTTCCACAATGCCTCAAAATATGTTGTGGTATGTGCTGTCCCGGTCAGGGTGCCCCGGCCCCTGTGTCAGTCTCCTGTCCATAAGCATGAGCACGTCTGATGTTGGGGGGTCGCATCGGGATTGGAGGTCAAACTGAACCGTGGGGGACAGCCCCAACCTGAAAACTGTGTTTTGAATGGAATAAGTTGAAAAACTTGCACTCTACGGGCAGAGTGAGAAGAGGAATCTCATTTGGTAAAATAGGATACGTCCCCCTTGGGCTGTCGCGCCGCCGTCCCTGCTCGTGACTGGTGCGCCCCTTTCCCGCCCGCTGTCATCCTCTGGAGCTTCCCCGTAATCTGTAGCCGCCGCTGGTGCTGCCGCGCCTCTGTCGGTGAGCGCGTCCCGTCCCGCCGTCAGATCGGCAAGGAGCGCCAGCTGCGCTTCGACGCGTGCACCATGCAGTTCTTCCCGCTGGGCCAGTACATCCTGATGGGCGGCTCCAACCGCGAGTGCACGCTCTTCACCAAGGAGGGCATCCGTCTGGAGACGATCAGCGCCCAGGAGTCGTGGGTCTGGTGCGCCGCGCCGCGGCCCGACAGCAACTACGTGGTGAGGAGGCCGGCGCCGCATGGCCCGGGCGCTGTCCTGCTGGCGAGGCTGGCGCGAACGCCAGAGGACGGCGGCGTATGGCTCTTACCGGGGGAGCATATCGCTGCTGCTGTAGCCGCTGCCACCGCCGCTGCTGCTGCCACTGCCGATGTGGCTGGTGTCGCTGGGAAGTGGGTGTTGACGGCGCTGGTGCTGTCGTTGGAGAGGATAAATGGTTCAGTTAATCTCGCGTGCCTGCGTTTTGGGCGGCATTTAAGCTCCCTTGTACGATTGTTGCTGGTGATGTGTCGCCCGTTGCTGGCGCCGTGCCGCGCTGACCGGCCCCCGCCGTCTGCGGCAGGCGTGCGGCTGTAACGACGGCACCATCGCGTACTACCAGCTCGTGTTCAGCACTGTTCACGGCCTGCACCGGGAGCGGTACGCCTTCAGGTGAGCCGAGCCCGGCCGGGCCGCCGCCGCTGGCATACGCCATGTCCGGCGACTCTCCACCGCTTGACGTGCGCGTCGGTCGCTTCGGCTGATTGTTTGAAGAGGGAGGCACCGCAGTCAACCTGTTTGAAGAGAGCGACGCCGTAGTCAGCCTCTGTATGGAGTGGGGTGTTACTAACGCCTACTCAGACGCAGTTGTTTCATCCAAGGATAGAAGAATGCTGGTGCGGGCGGGGAAATGGATGGTGCGACGGGTTATTCATTTCGTGACGCTCCGACCGACGGGTGCCCTTCATTATCTGGGACACAGAGGCACGCGTCGTGAAAGGTGAGCCCGCACGGGCCTCCGCCCCCAACACCGGACGTTTACCACTGGGCCGTGTCTGTGAAGCGTGACGAGCACCCGAGCTACGGGCCGCCCCGACGGCCGGAGCGGGCAGTACGCTTGCGTTGTAGGCGTGACCAGACCCTGAAGTCTCCGGTCCGCTCCCGCAGGGAGAACATGACTGACGTCATCATCGAGCACCTCATCACCGAGCAGAAGGTGCGCATCAAGTGCCGCGACATGGTGAAGAAGATCGCGCTCTACAAGACCCGGCTGGCGGTAAGTGTGCCCCCTCCCAGTGTGGGAGCCCAGCCCCGTTCCGCAGACCGCAGCGGTGGAGGAGGGGGGGGGGGGGGGGGGGGGGGGCGGAGCGGCTTTTAGGAAGGGATGGTCGCCGTGTGAGGTTTTGCTTGCAGCTGTTTCACCGGGCCGTCAGTCTGGCTAGAATTTTGAGGAGCATGAACTGGATGTAGAAGAATCTCGGGATCGCGAGTACAGTCCAGTGTTAAGGGTGAGTCAGTACGTGGCGAGAGTTCGGAGACGGTGAGCCTTGCCGCTCGCGTTTACTTAGCGTGTGCTGTCACTTAAGCTGAGGTCCGCCAGCTGCGTTCATAGGTGCACAATTTTTTAGTACTGGCTGCTGCTAGTTTGAAGATAGCCTGGCGGCCGATAGACGAGGGACATTCATTGAATCATGATTGGAAATGGATCGGAAAAGATTACCCTGTATACCAGCCACAGATGTATGCGGTGTTATGTACTCGTTGCTGCCGCCCCGCTGTCTACGCTCGGCAGCAGCTGTCGCGGTCTGACGTGGAGTCCGGCGTCGCCGCAGGTCCAGCTGCCCGAGAGGGTCATCATATACGAGCTGTACACGGGAGACTCGACCGACATGCACTACCGCGTCAAGGAGAAGCTCAACCAGAAGCTGGAGTGCAGCCTGCTGGTCATCTGCGCCAATCACCTGGTGCTCTGCCAGGTCAGCCCCGGGTGGCCTCCCGAGGTAGCCTCCCCAGCCCCCCCCCCCCCCCCCCAGGCGCCTCCATCCTTCCAGGTGGCCCCTACAGACGGCCTCCCTACGCGGCCTCTCCAGGCGCCGTCAGTCGAGCAACATCTTGACGCGCGCTCAACAACGCTGTGAAAAGGAAGTAGGCTATCGGGAGAAAGTCCGGTCGTTTGCTAGTCACGCACCCCTTTGTGTGTTAATCCTGTTCTGCTATACTGATTCGCAGTATACATTTCTGTGCGTTTTTTGCCCTCATCCGTGCTCCCTCCCGTTATGGTGTAAACTGTAACTGTGTCTGTAAGTACTTGCCGTTCACTGTTTCTCGCGCGGTGCGCCTGTCCTCCGTGTACCTGTTGTCCTGTGCGGGGCACCGTGTCGCCGTGTGCCGTTCGCTGTCGCCGTCGTCTCTTTTGGATGCACACGCATTTGGCGTTAACCACGCCGCTCTGTGCTACATGTGATGTGTCATGCCATCTCTCGAGCCTCCCTGTTTTACCGTGATCCACCGTGTTCTACCATGCTCTACCATGTATGTGTGTGATATGAAGATTCTCTCTGGCACGCCACGCCGTATCACGCATCAGCTGAAGAGCCGTCGGTCCCGTGTCTTGTAACCGTGATGGTCGGCCCCGTGTCCGGGCCCGAACGGTTGTGTCACGCGCCGACGCCCCCGTCCGTGACGCGGCGGCCCGGCCGGTGACGCGCCGCCGCGCCGCCCCCGCAGGACCGCCGCCTGCAGTGTCTCAACTTGTCGGGGGAGCGCGAGCGCGAGTGGGTGATGGACTCGATGATCCGGTACATCAAGGTGATCGGCGGTCCGCCCGACCGCGAGTGCCTGCTCATCGGACTCAAGAACGGCCACGTGAGTCAGCCGGCCCCGGCCCGGCCCAGGTGTGGGCGGAGCAGCGCAGCCGCCGCCCGATCGCTGACGCTGGTGTCCCAGGAGGCCACCGTCGGCGGGGCGCTGGGACGGCTGCCTGTTTGTCCAGTGCCGGCGTCATGCGACATGAGCCAGTCTTCGATGCGAGACGGCCCCGTGCGCTGGTCCTTCGCTGTGCAGGACACGGATGGTGTCGTAGAACTGTGCACCGTTCGCGAGGCGCCGAGGTCTGAATAACGCACACGCCGCGCTGGCGCTCTGGACTCTGTCACTGCAGTGCGTGACCGAGCCGACACGGTCGGCGGCGCCGTTCTCAGGTGTACAAGATCTTCATCGACAACGCGTTCCCGGTGAGCCTGCTCAAGGTGCCGTCGGCCATTCGCTGTCTGGACCTGTCCGCCTACAAGGAGAAGCTGGCCGTCGTCGACGACAACGGCACCGTGCTCGTCTACAGCGTCGAGAGCAAGGAGCTCATGTTCCAGGTGGGCTGCGGAACCGTCTGGCGTGAGCGCGTGCGGCGGCGAGGTGGGTAATCACGGCGAGGTGGCACCAAGGCGTCGCGTTTTGAGGTGGAAAACACGGCAGTTCTTTAGGTGGCCCTTTCCAGTGGCCAGTGGATCCTTGCTGATGGGTATATCGGTGGGCCAGTTGAAAACCGACGCGCTTTTTGTCTTTGGATCCGTGTGAACAGTGGCCACTACACCCTATTATGTGGTTTTGAACTGTGTATAAAGGGTGCTATGTCGGCAGGAGTTTGAGGCTTGTGAATACCCTGTGAGACGGTAGTGATCACAGAAGAAATCATGCGGCTGTGCGCTTTGCCCTGGTAACATCTGATGTTGCCGGTGTATTTCCTTAAATCAATCGATTGTTTGCTGTGATAACCTTGTGACCAGGGTGCGTGCCAAGCACGGCCCATCGTGTATGAACCGGTCCTGCTACACCACTAGGGCAATACAAATTCAACTGGTAATTTTGGCGGCCGATTTCAGCTCCACGTGCCGCGCGGTGCCGTAATACGGCATGGCAACGTGGCTGTCTTTGCCCTCTGCCAGTTGACTAACCACCAAAGAGGAGGCACAGGTGTGCGGTGTCGGGGACGCGGGCCCGAACGCGGCTGTCACACGGCTGTCAGTGTCGGCCGCTGCACCAGATCAGCTGGCGGGTCGGGCCGTCACCGTATGACGCGCCCCGGTGCTGGCTCCTCGCAACCGATGACCGTCGATTTTCAGGAGCCGAACGCCAGCAGCCTGTCGTTCAACACCATGTGCGAGGACATGCTGTGCTACTCCGGGAACGGCGTGCTCTTCATCAAGGCGGCCTCCTACGTGCCGTACCAGCAGAAGCTGCCGGTGCGTGACAGCGCAGCGACCACCGCGGCGCGGGGGGCTGGCGTGTTTTGGCTGCACTGAACGCTAACTTCGTGTCTTGGCTGCTCAGAATACGACGTGTCATCGTGAGGAACTCGTGGCAAATTATGGGGGTACCCTGGTATGTATTACTGATTTGTATCGACCGCCACAGCGCATCCATAGATATTCGGCGCCTCTGTATGGTGCCAATTGAAGCTTTGTGAACCTTACCTCATGGGGCTGGTGGGGCTCATCCTCCCTTCTGGACATGACCTGTGTTGCGTTGGGGTCGGCCCCCGCGGCGTGTGTGTGTGTCGGGGGGGGGGGCTGCCGTCCGTGACCCCGATGATGAGATGCTCCCTCCCCCCCCCCTCTACCGCGGTGTGTGGGGAGAGCCCCGTGCTCCTGCTGATGCTCGCCCTCGCGGAGTGCGGGCCTGACTGTGTCGACGCTGTGTCGCTCCGCAGGGCTTCGTGGTTGGCTTCAGCGGCAGCAAGGTGTTCGTGCTGTGGAACTACTCGATGCGCTCCATCGACGTGCTGCAGTCGGCGCCCATGTACCAGTACATCGACAAGAAGCTGTTCAGGTAGGCTTGCTGGGGTTCAGTGCTGTGTGTGCCTCGGACTTTGGAGCCTAATGGGGGCGTGGAGCAGGGATCGACTCCTCGAATGGCAACTCAGCGGTGGAGGACTTCACCCTAGCTCGCATGGCGGATGTGAGAATAGAGTGGGTTGGCGGCGGCAGTGGAGTTAGTCGTGGCGGTGGTATGCAGGACTATGAAGCAATAATTAAGGCAACAGTTGCTGCGGCAGCAAATGCTGTCATGGAATCATCGTGTGCGCTATCCATATATGATGCGCGCCGAATCACGTGGGTCAGTTTTTCTCAACGTACATCGGCAGGATCTTCAATTCAAATCGCAAGTGACAAGCTTATATCACCAGACCAAACATGCCGTGAAGCCGAGGACCATGTTCCTCTAGAGGTGCCGGACGGCGGGCCGGGCAGCGTGCAGGTGTTAAGTGGGTCGCGTCCGTGTCCCGACAGTCAGGCGTACGCGGTGGCCTGCCTGGGCGTCAGCGAGAGCGACTGGGAGACGCTGGGCACGGAGGCGCTCAACAATCTGGAGCTGGAGGTGGCCAAGAAGTCCTACATGCGCATCAAAGACGTGCCCTGGCTTTACCTCATCGATTCCATGGAGGTGAGAGGGCCGTTCGCGGTCGGCGGAGCTCTTCCGCCGCTCGTTTTGGTCTTCTGGATCTGTCACTGTGCCTTTTAACCCACTCCGGGGAGGAATGAGTTTAAGTATGTGGAATAAACACGGGTTTCACACCTAGACCGTCAGGGTGTCTTGTAGCCACTTGAGTGGCTCCGCTGCGCGAGAAGAAAATGCCTCATGATCCATTGCCTTTTTTTTAGGTGTCCGATTGGTTCCATATTTGTCTGAGCGATGGGAAAGAGCGTTCTGGTTTACTTCGCTCCTGGTCACGTTGTTAGCTTTCTTTCCTTTAACGCATCCGATCATACCCGCCACCTCTGCCGACAGGAGAGGAAGAAGAAGGGCGACTTCAACGAGCAGGTGTTCCTGGGCGACATCCTGTCGTACCGCGGCGAGTTCCGCGAGGCAGCCGAGTGCTACCAGAAGGGCGGCAAGCCGTCAGCCGCGCTCCAGATGTACACCGACCTGCGCATGTTCGACCTGGCGCAGGTCAGTCCCGGCCGACCCGGCCCTGTCACTGACAGGGGGGCCGGGCTGGTGACGCGCCGGTGGCACGCCGGTGATACGCTGGTGACACGCTGGTGACCAGGGGACACTCCGATGACACACTGGTGGCGCGCCGATGACACGCCAATGATACACTCATGACACGCCAGTGACACCCAGTGACACGCCGACGACGCGTCGGTGACACGCCAGTGACACGCCGACGGCACGATGGGTGCGTACGGAGCAGTGCGCGATTGGTGGCATATGGGTTTCGTAACATTGCAACGTCCGTGTGTGACATGACCGGTGCGGTCGTCACATCTGTGGTCTGGCTCTGCCCCACCGCTGTGGCGCACCGACCACGCGCTATCCGCCGCCCGCGCCTGGTCCGTGTATGAGCCGACTACAGCCCCCCCCCCCGGTCTGCGCCCGCGGCGGCCGAACCGTAGCTCTCTCGTTAACCACACGCTCTTGCCGAGGCAGGAGTTTGCTGGCGACGAGGACTCGTCCGACCGCAAGACGCTGCTGAAGAAGCGGGCCGAGTGGGCCAAGAACATCAACGAGCTGCGCTCGGCCGCCGAGATGTACGTCAACGCTGGCGAGACGCTGAAGGCCATCGAGATCATGGGCGAGAACGGCTGGATCGACATGTGAGTTCCGGCCGCCCGGTGTCGCGGGTGGAGCGCGTCACGAGGACGGGTCGGACGGGGGCGTCAGCCTCCCCTCCCCACCGCCTGACTGGCGAGGGGGCTGACCGGGGAGGTGATACGTCTGTAAGTGCGCTGTAAACTGTTGACTCCTGTGTGATCGTAAGCACAACTGGAAATTTCGAGTACTGTCCACCTAACCAGGGTTTGCTCCAGAACGTCCTTTAACCAGTACCTTTTGGTGTATGGAGGGGTAATCATCATCATAAGAAGTCTGAGCTCATGGTACCGAAACACCAGGAACTGAAGATCTGTCTTTGTTTATTTGAAGTGTTGATGTACATACAGACTCATTATTTGGTGCCTGCACACATATTGTGCATTGCCCATAACAACGCCTGTGAGAGTGCGCTGACGCCGGTGGCCGGTGCGCCGCTGAACGCGTGGGCGTCGTTTGACCCGTCCGTCCGTCCGTCGGCCGGCCGCAGGCTCATCGAGACGGGCCGCAAGCTGGACAAGGGCGAGAGCCAGGCGATCGAGCTGGTGGCCCAGCACCTGCGCCGCCTCAAGCAGTACGCGCTGGCCGCCGAGATGTACAAGTGAGTGGGGCCGGGGCGTCGCCGCTGCTGGCTCGCAGCACGCGCTGGCCGCCGAGATGCACAAGTGAGTGTGATCGGAGCGCCGCCGCTGCCGGACCGTAGTACGCGCTGGCCGCCGAGATGTACAAGTGAGTGTGATCAGAGCGCCGCCGCTGCCGGCCCGCAGTTCAGCCAATTACCGGCCGAGGCGCCGAGCCTCGTCCGCTAGTAATGGTCCCGGATACCTCTGGCAGTAAGGGATGTCCGGGCCGGTGCTGACCTACGTCAGGTATGCGCAGTGAATTACGCCTGGTAGACTGTTACCAGCCCAAGTCGTTGGACAGCTGCCCGAGCCCGAAGACGGGGCTGGAGCGGCGTGTCTGTCGCCGAGCCGCTGCTGGTGCGGTCATCGTCGGCCGCCTGCCGACCACCGGCGGCCGGTCTGCGTGTGACGCGCCCGCCGCTGCCCGCCACCCGCAGGAAGATGGACGACACTGAGTCGATGATCAGCTGCTACGTGGAGGCCGAGGCCTGGGACGAGGCGTTCGCGCTGGGCGAGCAACACCCTGAGTTCCGGCAGATCATCTACGTCCCGTACGCCAACTGGCTGGCCGAGCACGACAAGTTCCTGGAGGCGCAGAAAGGTCGGTGGTCGGCGGCGGAGCGTGTGCGGGACGGACGTGTTCGTTCATGGAACGTGCCGTGATGTACGAGGCGGGACGGCAGCGTCCGCCGTGTTGTGCCAGGAGCCCCCGAACTGTGCTGTGTGTGATGTGCCGTGAACCTGGGGTTGTGTCTGGCAGCGCGTATGATGCGTAGTGACGGCTAAGGTTATTGCCATGGTGCCATGCCACTGTGCAGCTGAGCTGGACGGGGGCTGACGCGCGCGCCGACTGCTGTTCCCCGGGGGCGATCTGGTGTGACTGGCCCCTCCCTGCGGCAGCGTTCCACAAGGCCGGCCGGCTGGACCTGGCATTCCTCATCCTGGACCAGCTGACGGTCAACGCCGTGGAGGAGAGCCGCTTCGACGACGCTGCCTTCTACCACTGGGTGCTGTCGCTGCAGTGTCTCGAGGTCGCCAAGGAGGAGTGAGTGGGCGCCGGCGGCGGCGCGCGATGACCAGCTGAACTCCGGAACGGTCGGAGGCAGGCCCCTCAGGCCGCTACCGTATTTTCGTGGGGTTGCTTCGCTGCTCCGCACCCTAGATATTTTAGGACGGTGGCGTGGGTAGTTCAGCGTCTGGTTGGTTTAGCGTATGTCCGGTTGGATCAGCGATCGATTTTGGACTTGTCTTATGTGATAGAAAAGCCACACATCTTCGTGTGCCGCATCCAAACGCTGTCGAATCAAAGAATCCCTGCGGTTGCGACCGGTCCCATGGCTGCTACTCCCAGGAGGGTATTCACAGCAGAGCTCTTGGGCAATGGCCCACCGGTCAGTAGCAGGGTCTTTTTGTCGAGCTGTCACCCGGCCGGCCGGGCCGCTGCCGCCAGCACTGAGACAAGTCGGCTCTCGCCTCGGCCGTGACGCCCCACCCCGCTCCGCCCCGCCAGTGCCGCGCAAAAGGACGCCATGATCAAGCTGTTCTACGAGCACCAGCGCAAGGCCAACATCTACTACGCCTACCACACGATCCACCGCTACATCGAGGAGCCGTTCACGTCGTACATGCCCGAGGCGCTGTTCAACATCGCCCGCTTCCTGACGCACGAGCTCACCACGCTCCAGGTGAGTGGGTCAGCCCTCCGTGTCCCGGGAGAGACGCCTCAGACACGTGCCGTATACGTTGCTCGCAGGCCCGGCACTGCACGGCGGGCTCGGCAGGCTGCCGCTGACCCGGTGCTGCCCGGCGGGCCCGGCGGCGACCCGTGCGCGTCGCCTCCTGTCGTGCGCTGGATGGGTGAGAGGAGGCGTGTTGGTGGTGGCGGTGGCCGCGGCCGCGGCCGCCGGTCGTGTCGCCCCTGAGCACTGACGGCCGTCCGCCCGCCCGCAGCCCCGCGGTGTCTCCAAGTTCTGCACCCTGTACGCGCTGGCCAAACAGGGCAAGAATCTGGAGGCGTTCAAGCTGGCACGCTATGCCTTGGACAAGATCCAGCAGCTGAAGGTGCCTCTGCGCTTCCAGGTGAGTCGCACGCTCTGTGGTGATCGCACCCTCCCCCTCCCCTCCTCCGCCGTTGTGCGGCCCTTGTGCCCATCCGTGTCTCAGGGATTTCCGTGCTTCAATAGGCTGCGCCTATCCACATGTGCCGGTAATTGTCTTAGCGCTGATCTAGGGCCCACATGAGGAGCGGAGGGCGCGCTCTGTACCCGGCCAGAATGTTCAGCTTACCGACGCACGCGGCACGCCTCACTCGGAGCGGTGGCGTCTCGATGGTGGCCGACCGGTGCTTGCCCCGGCCGCCGCAGGAGAACGTCGACCTGGCTTCGGTGCAGCTGCGCGGCAAGGCGTTCACGGACAAGGAGGAGCTGCTGCCGCTCTGCTACCGCTGCTCGTCCGTCAACCCGCTGATCAACACGCGCGGCAGCCGCTGCACCAACTGCAACCAGCCCTTCGTCTTCTCGTTCGTCTCGTTCGGTGCGTTTGGTCAGAGAGGCTGCTGTCGGACGCTTGGGTGTAGTTTTCGGCTCCGGTGGGGGGCGAGATGGCCACGCGTTGTACGCACAGAAGCTGGCTTTGTTGTGCCGTGTGGGAGCCAACGCCCACGCTGGCACGGACAGCCAGAGGTCACCTTGGAATGGAAGCCTGCCGACTGCAGACTGACTTTTACCGAGGAATTTGAAGTGGGACAGAAGCAACTAAGCCTAGAGTTAATCGGGCTAGTTTTGTACGGGGCATCAGAGATGGTTCTCAATGTCCCTTCACAGCAAGGGCCATGTCACCTTCACCTGGAGATGGTTCAGGGGTTTCTCGGCTTCTCCTTAGAACTGCTGTGATTGCGGCGGCGCTCCCGCGCGTGTGACCCGATGACGGATCTCCGTCCCTCGCTCCCCACAGAGATCCTGACGTTGGTGGAGTTCCAGCTGGAGGACGGCATCTCGGACGAGGACGCCATGCGCATGATCGAGCTGTCCGACCCGGACGGCTCCGACGACGAGGAGTCGAGCAGTTCGAGCAGCTCCAGCGAGGAGGACGAGGACGAGGAGGAGAAGCCGGCGCAGCTGTCCATCAGCGCCGCCGCCGCCGCCGCCCTCCACCCCAACGCCAGTGGCGCCAAGCAGAGCGCTAGCGGTGCCAAGCAGAGCGCCAGCGGCACCAAGAAGAGCGCCAGCGGCATCAAGAAGAGCGCCAGCACTGCCAAGAAGCCGAAGGTGCGACAGGTGGCGGAGACGGGCGGCCCTCAGCCTGGCGTGCGTTACCGTCGGTTGGGGTGGCTCGTTCCGGCGATCAGCTCTGGCCGTGTTGGTAACTTACGTTTCTTGACATTAGGTCTTAGACAGCAGGGGGTGGGATGATGTGTCTTACGTTGTCATCCATTAGGATTTGTAGACTGCTAAGTAGAAGTCTATTATGCGCGTAGGTCCGTAGTGTACAAAGCGAGCCCTCAAAATGGCATCGTGCCATCTGTGATAGGCGTGTGCATGAATCTCAAAGTGCATCCGAAATGTTCGCGATGAGGGACACAAATCATGCCCGTCCACAGAAATGCGTAGATTACGGAGCCGGAAAAGCCAGCGTGACATGAGCGTCACAATGTATCCGCTATGTAGCACGGCTGCATCCGTCGACAGCTCGCTGGGCTTGTGTGTTGCGCACCGAACACATCACATCGGGGCTTGACCGCTGGCAGGGCTGGAAGGAGAAGAAGAAGGGCACCACGCAGACGCTGACCCTCAATGACCCGAACGCCGGCGGTGAGGCGGATCCCTTCACCGAGCGGCTGCTCAACTTCGAGGTAACCGCCGCTGGTCCCGTGGCCGCGCTGTCCCGCTCAACGGAGGCTGCGCCCCCGTGCAAACCGGCCAGTAAAGGGCAGATAACGGAGCCTTGTGTGTGGTGGCCCCGGACCGATATGTCGGTCTTTTCGTCACACTTTGATCGTACTCGCCACGTTTATTTGTGCCTCCTGGTGTCGATTTTTGCCATCGTCAGCGTCGATTGTCGTTTATTTATTACACGCCGCAACGTGCTGGCCCTGCAACAAGCTCGATACGTCCGACGTGTAACGTGGCCGCGGCGCAGCTTTGAGCCCGGGACACAGAGTTTTGGACAGTTGCAGAGGTCGTTTTGTGCCGAGGCTGGAGGACAATCGCTGAGGAGTTGGGTGTTTCCGGGTGTGGTGACACGGCTCATGCCGTGACCCGCCTGCTATGTGGTAGTCCGGTCCATACTGTGACCCGCCTGTTGTGTGGTGGACCGGTCCATACCGTAACCCGCCCGCCGTCTGGTGACCTGGTCCATACGGTAACCCGTTGTCGTGTGGTGGCCCGGCTCATACCGTGACCTGCCTGTCTTCTGGTGAGGCGGTCCATACCGTGACCCGCCTGTCGTGTGGTGACCCGGTCCATACGGTGACTCGCCTGGCGTATGGTGGCCCGGTCCATGCGGTGACCTGCCCGCCGTGTGGTGACTCGGTCCATACGGTGACCTGCCCGCCATGTGGTGACTCGGTCCATACGGTGACCTGCCCGCCGTGTGATGACTCGGTCCATACGGTGACCTGCTCGCCGTGTGGTGACCCGGTCCATACCGTGACCCTCTTGCCGTCTGGTGACCCGGTCCATACCGTGACCCTCTTGCCGTCTGGTGACCCGGTCCATACCGTGACCCGCCTGTCGTGTGGTGACCCGGTCCATACGGTGACTCGCCTGGCGTATGGTGGCCCGGTCCATGCGGTGACCTGCCCGCCGTGTGGTGACTCGGTCCATACGGTGACCTGCCCGCCGTGTGGTGACTCGGTCCATACGGTGACCTGCTCGCCGTGTGGTGACCCGGTCCATACCGTGACCCTCTTGCCGTCTGGTGACCCGGTCCATACCCTGACCTGCCGGCCGTGCGGTGACCCGGTCCTCTCTGCATTGGCAGCAAGGTGGCACCGACTTCATCCCGGTAGTGGTGAACGCTCCTGCGCTGCGGGCCATGAGTCCCGTGGACGTGCTGGTCTGCAAGTGGCCGCCGCCGCTGCGCTACCAGTTCTTCAGGAACCTGATGCCCGACATGCCTGTGTCCCACTGCCTGTCGTGTAACAGGGTGAGAGGCCGGCCGCTGCGGACGGAACGGGCGGTCCACCAAGCACATTGGCTCTCGTGACCGCGAACACCGCTGGAAACGCCGAGCGTTGGCGATGTAACCAGCGGCTGCTCAGTAACGTTGTTTGGCCAGTAACTCCCGGTGATTGAAGTTTGGCGATTGAGCGAAGAAGAACTTTGAACTCATGATGGAAAAAACTGGGGCTTAAAATCTTCCCTGTTTATGTCAAGCGTACTGCAGCGTGTTCTGTTATGTGATTTGTCAGACGCCAGACACTGGTAGCGGTCCCTATGTTCTCCGCGTAGTCCGCTCCCTCCTGACAGCTCCTCTCCCCCCCCCCCCCCCCCCATCACTACCACCGGCGATGCGGTCTGGCGTCTCCTACCAGCCAACAATGGACTATTTTAGCTACCATCTCGCTTGATTGTTGACTGCTACCATCATGTCTCATCTGATCGGTCGTTCCCTGTTCGACCTAGCGAAGCGCTTCGCTGAGTGGAGTCTCTGCGATGTGTGCTTTGCTGCCCGTCCGGTCGAGTGTCGGCGTTTCTAATCCACGCCGGCGTCTGTAAGTGGGCCCGGCCGCCACTGAACATGCGCTTGGCTCGTGCTCTGGCTGCCGCGTCCAGCCGTGGCTGTCGGTGGCTGTTGCCTCCCGTGTCCGGCGGTGGTGTGGCGCCCGCCTGCTGACGCTCGCCCGCCGTCCCCAGCTATTCCACACGGACGACTACGAGCTGCAGTCGCTGCAGAAGGGCTACTGCCCGTTCTGCCGCAAGCCGACCGACCCGCACCAGGTCACGGGCTCGGCCGAATAGGCGCCTGCCGACCTGACCGGGTCCACTGGCCAGACGTCTGTCGCTCCCGCCGGATCTCCGGGGGGTTGGGATAGGTCCCAGCTGACCGGCCCGGGTCCCGGGCTCGGCTGGCCAGACGTCTGTCGCTCCCGCCGGATCTCCGGGGGGTTCGGATAAGCCCCGGCTGACCGGCTCGGGCCCCGGGCTCGGCTGGCCAGGCGGCCGCGGTGCCGGTCCGGGCGTCGGATCATCGGACGAGTCCCAGCGGGTCCGGCCGAGTCATCATCGATCAGATGGCCACAGGTCGGCCATTCTGGTGCCGCCCGCCGGCACCGGCCCCCAGTCCTGATCGGCATGGCGGCCGCTACGCTGCGCACCTGCTGCACTGTCGTGCACGATTGTGCGCGCTCCTGGTGCGGGTCCCCGTCCCGGGAACGCCTGTGATCTGGTTCGATAAATTCGGCAAGATGTTTGCGGCCTGTTTGTGTTGATTTCATTTCCTCGAAGTGAATCGTAGCGCGGATTTGAGATGCCCGCGAGCGCTGTCCAACATGCCGAAGTGAATCCGCCAGCCTTTCAAGCACATTAGCACGGGCCCGCTTCGCCCTTGTTATTACCGTCTGGCCTATATGGTAAACGTGACCCTGGTGTGGTGCGCCACGCTCATCAGTGCCGCTGACATGCCAGCAGGCACTTCACGCCGGTTTCTGAGCGCCCTGCCGTCCGAAAGGTCCACACGCGCCCCGCGCCCTGACGGTTGAGGAACGCCATCATTCTGGCTTGTGTCATGCGGTGCGCTCGTCCAAAGCGTGCCGTTGCGGTTGAGTCCAACTGAAAGTTGCCTGCGTTTTGTTACTGGATCTGTTTACGTGATATTTATCCATATTTGTTTTATTATGCGTGTCTATTTTTGCGTGTCTTGTTTTACTTCGCATCGTATAAGACGCAAATCTAGTCGTGCGGCTATCTGATGACAAATTGCCGTGTCACTCAATGGTTGTGCCGCTGTTGTTTTTGCACGAAGCATGTGATCTGATATCAGGATTCCGTCTAGTCATGACTGCTGTGATAATGACACCATATCCGTCCACAAGCTGCGCTAGTCCTGGAAAATGCGTTATCACATGGTCAATAAATATAAAAACATGTCTCGTGTTTGTCTGGAGGAGGTACGTCAGCTGTATTGCATTCCAGTTACTACAATGGGGATGTTTAGATGAACATTTACACTGTCAGTGGGCCGCTGACCGCTGCTCGTTTTGCATGTCCTCTCCACCGCAAACGCTGATTCGTCCTCAAACCTACCAACAAGATGAACTTCATCAGTCCATCACGCCTCCGTGTGTGTGCTAGCTCACGAAACCAATACCTGAGATTACTCTCGGTCTGTGGGCCGCTGACCACTGCTCGTTTTGCATGTCCTCTCCACCGCAGACGCTGATTCGTCCTCAAACCTACCAACAAGATGAACTTCATCAGTCCATCACGCCTCCGTGTGTGTGCTAGCTCACGAAACCAATACCTGAGATTACTCTCGGTCTCTTTTTACGTACCGAATCAGCCTTCGCCGGTATCGACATACTCGGGCTGGAGCGGGCGCACTGCCACTGGGAACCCGGCCCTCAGGCGCCGCCCGGCCGTGTGGCGCAGTCCGGCGGGGCGTTGCCACGGCAACGGACACAAACAAACCAGGCTCGCCGACTGCTGTGGTGTGAGGCACGCGTCGGGGTTGGGTGTCACGGGGCGGCCCGCGTTTTGTGTTGCGGGGCTAAGAGGAGAAGGAATTGATCGCGTCTCAATTGGTGGTATCGGCATCTAACATGGTAAGTTCGGTCGACGTGTCGTCTCATCAAACTTCCAAGAAAGTCGAAGGCAATTGGCAAATCTTGGCCGCTTCCTGCTGGGGAGGTATATCAAGCCTGTTCGTTCTTGAGAGTTAGCAAGTGTTTCGACCTATACGTATCATTGAATCACCGGTGTGCTGTCGAGAGTCTGGGTTGTTTCTTGTCTCCTTTTACTTTCGAGATTTCATGACTCCCGTCGTAGCATGATGACCTGTCGTCCGACATTTAGAAAGGGAGAGAGAGATGTATATATATATATATATATATATATATATATATATATATATATATATAGATATATATATACATGCATATGTATGCATATATATATATATATATACATATTTATATATATATATATATATATATATCCCTCTGTGGGTATCAGGAACTAGGCGCTCAGGTTGAATCAATGACTGAGTAGGAAGCAGGGATCTCGCTGGCTCACTACAACACTCATTGACTAAAACGAATGAGCCCAATAACGCTCCACGAACACTACGCGGCACACGAATAGTTCAAGTGTTTAGACAGTCACCTAGTTATCGCAACGTTCAAGCACGAGGGCCTGTGGCAATTGACGTTGCGCATTCACAATCCCGAAACGGAGTTCCTCACTGGATGAGCAGCTGGGCTCGGCGCCGGCCTACTGAGAACCATCTGCCGGTCCGTCGGCAGGCGGCGCCGGACGAGCTGGGCCTGAACGAGCATCACCAGGCGCAGCTGGTGCGCTACATGCGCTTCGCGCGCCACCAGCGCGACAAGCGGCTGCGCACCGTCGACGTCGCCTTCGAGGACTGCATGTTCGCGCGGTGAGCAAGGCGGCGGCTGCCAGCCGACCGCGGCAGGCCCCACTGCCACAGCGACGGCCGCACGCCGCCCGCCTCAGAGAACCTGGGCTTCAAAGTTGTCCAAAGGCTACCCGTTTTGTGTTGTTGCGTTGTTGTGTTGTGTGAGGGTAGCACTGCGCATTGACGTGCACAGCCCACAGCAGGAAGCCACGAAAACAGCATGGTCAGTAGAGAATCAAACGGAAAGGGAGGAGTTAACCCCACCCAGGAAGTATGTTTCGTTACATGTGTAGAAACCTGCAAACTGGCGTGGCCCACACAAGGATTATTGTTGCCAGGGTTTGCTCTTTTCGGAGCGTAATATTTATTCAATGTATTGTTTGTGGAGTTGTCTAGCGTGAAATTAACATGTATCAATATTTAACATGGAGTAGCGGTACTGTGTTACGACCTGGAACTCTCACAGAAGTCGCAGTGTTATTCCGTATAGGGATGGAGCAAATCTTGGGACGTTCAGACGACAGTCTAAGCCTACGACGTTAATACATAGCTTGGACCAAAAAAAATCAACTTCCTCATATCTGGAAACCCTGGATCTCAAAGTACAGGTCCAGCAATGGTCGCACATTTTTGGCTCCAATGGTGCTCATTGAAAACACAACAGGCTACTGCGTTCTGAAATAATAACCTTGTGAACAGTTTTTTGATTGCTCAAATCTTCTTAAGAAATACTCACCAGCCCCCACCAGGCTTGTTCGTGTTTAGTTAGCTTGAAGCTGCTGACCCCGTGTGTTGTGTCCGACGGGCTCTCCGAGACAACATACACCAGGGACAAATTGGAGGAGCTGCTGACCTGGTGTGTTCTGTCCGACAGGCTCTCCGGGACAACGTATAACGGTGACTAGGCGGAAGAGCTGCTGACCCGGTGTGTCGTGTCTGGCAGGCTCTCCGAGACGACATACACCAGGGACGACGTGGAGGAGCTGCTGACCCGGTGTGTTGTGTCCGGCAGGCTCTCCGAGACAACGCATAACGGTGACGAGGCGGAAGAACTGCTGACCCGGTGTGTTGTGTCCGGCAGGCTCTCTGAGACAACGTATAACGGTGACTAGGCGGAAGAGCTGCTGACCCGGTGTGTTGTGTCCGGCAGGCTCTCCGAGACGACATACACCAGGGACGAGGTGGAGGAGCTGCTGACCCCGTGTGTTGTGTCCGACGGGCTCTCCGAGACAACATACACCAGGGACAAATTGGAGGAGCTGCTGACCTGGTGTGTTCTGTCCGACAGGCTCTCCGGGACAACGTATAACGGTGACTAGGCGGAAGAGCTGCTGACCCGGTGTGTCGTGTCTGGCAGGCTCTCCGAGACGACATACACCAGGGACGAGGTGGAGGAGCTGCTGACCCGGTGTGTTGTGTCCGGCAGGCTCTCCGAGACAACGTATAACGGTGACGAGGCGGAAGAGCTGCTGGCCCGGTGTGTTGTGTCCGGCAGGCTCTCCGAAACAACGTATAACGGCGATGAGGCGGAAGAGCTGCTGACCCGGTGTGTTGTGTCCGGCAGGCTCTCCGAGACGACATACACCAGGGACGAGGTGGAGGAGCTGCTCACCCGGCTCAGTACGGAGGTGCATGATGAAGTCAGCGCCGAGCTGGTCAACGCCGATCACACGGCGCTCCTGCTGCTGCGCCAGGTGTTCGTGCAGGCGCAGAAGTGGCACCTGCGGCTCGACTCACACGTGGAACAGCTGGAGGACAAGTGAGAGGGAACGCCGTCCAGCCAGCTGGCGGTGGTGTGCCGCCAGACGCGGTCGCCCTGCGTGCGGGTTATCAGTGTGCTGTCGGGTGCTCCCGGCGCCGAGTGCTGATCTTCATGGTGCTTTTTTGGGTCCAAAATGTCACTCCTATATAACTGATGTTCGACTGTCATGACTTACTCACATTGAGATCCTAGTCTGAGATGATTTGGGATGACCAGGGCTGCCGCCGCAAAGACGAAAGGCTAACATGGCGACTGCCATTTTTATATACAGTCCAAATGGCAGACGCCATGTAAATATAAATGTTCGTGACCCATACAATGATGAATTTTGGCGATTTTGAATTGTGTAGCATGAGTGGGGTCATTTGCTGCCTGACTAGAGGTGCATAATGGATGTATCTTGGCTTCGGAAAAGGTGTGTTTCATGTTTGGGATAGAAGAGGAGTAAGCATGACATGCAGATTACTGGGTCTCAAAATCAATTTCACAACTTTTCCATCTCCTCCAATTTTATCTTAAGTTGAAAAAGGAATACAGTTATCCCAGCCGTCCAAAAGGACGCGACATCGAAAACTTCTAACGTAATTGGTATATGTTATGCTATGGGAGCTTGTTAACGAGATCTGACCGTCCTCTTTTTGCGCTTCTTAGGCGGATTGCGACATTGCTCAATTTCAGTCTTCGCAATTACCGTAGCCAGACCCCTTAACTACTCGCATCCTTAACGCTGTGAACCCATGTCCCGCGACAGAGGATTTTGGAGGGAATGCTTGTCGTACCGAGCCGTAGTGTAGACTCGGAACAGAACCAGAAGAAGAGGCCCAGAACAGGCGCACGGTTCCACGGTTTGGAACGGGACGCTGAAGGAAATGAATCCAATTCGCACACTGTCAACACGTGCCGTTTTCACATGGACAGGTCCGAGGGTTTCCCCGTTGGTGGCTGGTTTGCCAGACGCCGTGACCTGTCCTGTTGCCGGCAGGGAGCTGATCGACCTGGTGAAGACGTTCGAGGAGGACGAGCTGGCCGGCAAGCCCCGCGGTAAGGTCTGTCTGGCGCCGCTCAACGACGACAAGGCGTTGAATGAGCTGCTCAAGCTCGGCGACGAGAAGGGCAAGCTCATCGAGCGCATCCAGAGCATCGAAGCTCAGGTGAGCCGGGGCTTGTGTGCGCGGTACACAGTACGCCAGCGGCTGTCTGGCTCGACACAAACGGCTTAGTCGCGTTATTCAGGCAGTCCTGGGCACAGTCTGTTGGTCGACGTCATTTTGTTTTGATGCATGGACCAATGCCCATTTATAAATTGTGAGCAGAGCAGGAGCTTATCGATTGGTCTCCCAAACTATGAAAACACCATGTCGTTGGCCCGAGGGCAGGCAAGTGGCTGAGTTCAATAGCTTGACGGCTTTTGCGTCTTTGACGGCATTTCGAGACACTTGTTCACTCTTTTCATATATCCTCAGTATGAATCTGAACTCCGAATCCTGAGACCTTGGCTTCAAGTACTACACCAAGTTCTCATGTAACGGCTTCGTAAACGAGTTCGAGGCTGAGTCTGATTCACGGGAACTTGGGCCAGAGCGCGGGCGTGAATCATTTGGTTTCAACGTTGGTTTTACTTCATTAGGCTACGTCTTGCCATGGATGCCACGATGGTCAAAGTTTATAAGTGGAATGACTGAATAACGGCTGTATAAATGCAATAACTATAATTAATATGGGTCTTGACTCTGAGTCAAGATAAATCAGATTGCTTCGTGAAACGCGTCGATTTATGTAGGTTCAAGTTCCGAGTTTAAAAAAGCAAGTTTATGATGAAAGTGGGAGTTGAAGGCATTTACTCTGGGCAAATTTCGTAGGATAGACATGGTGCCGAATAATGAGCTGAGTTGTTCCTGGTTAATGGTTTAGTGGTAGTCTGAGTCTGATTCTGAGTCAAGATAAGTCAGGTTCATTCGTGAAATGCATGGATTTACGTAGGTCCAAGTCTCGAATCGTCATAATCCCTAAGTCAGTTCGTATTCTGAGCGGGCTATGACCTATGTATACGTGTGGCATGGCCAGGTACTTGCCGGTCTCGTCTCAAAGTGAATAACAGATGACGTGGGCTCAAGATGCTCCATCCTGTGGGTTCAGTTCCCACTGAATGCTTCGTGTTTCGATCGATAAGGCTAGGAAGCTACGTGTGGTCGTACTATGACCTCGTATGGGACGTTAAAGATTCAGCGGAATGTTGGCTCCGGTAAAGATATCCAGCATTTCCGACCATTTCAGTACACGTGTCAGTGCCAGCGTAGCAATGCAAGCTCGGCAAAGACTCCGTTCCGTGGCACTCTAGCCAATGATTTGTTCGCCTGAGCTTCATGAGAACGACTGCTTTCTCCTCCATAATGCACAGTTTGAACTGTTCCGCCACTGGTGACCCTGGTGATAGCCCGATGACGAGGACATGTTGGGCACACGACTCATCGACGCACGTCCGGTCGACCGTGTATTGATGGCAGTAGAAAGCCTGTCGGAAAGCGAGGGAATTGTGGAAAAGAACTACACCCCCGGTACAGTTATTCCTTTAGCGCGATACTTTGCTGCAGATTAATGTACGTAGTAATGAACTGTGTTTGAATAATTCCAACCCGATGTCGAGTGGCTTACGCAAGTCTGGTGTCTGGGCTCACTATCATGTGACGTCTTCATATGATGCATGATATCCTCCCAGGTGTATACTGATGCCTCGCATGCACCTCATCACCTTTTCAGATCCCTGGGTGTCGTTGGCTTTTCGAGCGATGACACAGCTCATTAAACACGGGCTGCTGCAAGGAGATCGCGTTTTGCTGTTAACTCATGAACCGCAACCAGAGACATACTTGATACTTAAAATTACGTTGATGTCCTGAGCCTGTAGTGACATGATAGACAGTATATATATATATATATATATATATATATATATATATATATATATATATATAAGTTTGATATGTAAGTTATATATAAGATATATATATTGAGTTTATATACCTATATATATATATATATATATATATGTATATATATATATATATCTATGTATATCTATATCTATATCTATATCTATATATATATATATATATATATATATATATAGGTATATAACTTCATGCGAATGTGTAACAACAGTAAGGCGGTGAGAGCAAAGGCCTACAAGTACCAAGCATGGCGCAACGGTCCTTTGCTGCAGACATGGCTCGAGCCTTAATGATGAAACCCACCTTCAGTCCACTTTTTGTCAAAGCTAAAAACTGAGCGCTTACAAAAATACACTTAATTTTCTGGTTCTCGGTAAATGCCCCAACAAAACTGAATTTCGTATGTGTTACTAAATGATCGCACCTCAGAGTTTTAAGAGACACAGTTCTGGAAAATCGTTTAGAGCTCATTGAATATACCATGGCCTGATTTGGATATTCTATCTGGATATGACAGAGGAAACATGCTTTTTTTGGTTGAGCAGGCTTCACTTTAAAAAAACGTCATGTTGTCAGCGAAATGTTGGAATCGGTTTTGAACCCTAGGTGATGTTTTTACAAGTTTGGAATTGGATCATGAGCCACGGAAGGCCCGTCGATCATATACGGTGGAATTATCTGTTAAGGACCCGGAACGACACCATGACAATAATATTAGGCTGTTCGAGATTTTCAAATCGTACTTGGGCGACCGAAGTTTTTTATGTTTTATGGCGGATCTTATGTACATTTTGGAAGATCTGAAACTCCAACGCAATATCCAAGCCATTGAATCCATTTCCTCGGATCCAAAGAAATGTATGATTAGCTGTTGGCAACAAGATTGGCAAATGTGCGCTGAAGAAATCTGGAATTGTAGACTTAACACTTAAAACAAAGACAGGCAGACAAAGGTGATTTTAACCGGTCGCATCAAATAAGTTGCCAGCTAAAAGTACTAGATTTTCACATTTTTATGTTCCGGTCCAACTATTACATTGTCTGAAGAACGATCCTTTCATTCGCATGTCAGTTGGAACCACAAACCATGTCATTCCTGTTTCGCTTGTATTCCGTCTATCGTTGAATTTTGAAAAATGATATTTTTGCTATTTGTAACGAATCTGCTTCGCTTCTTTGACTAACCTTGCTCTTTCCCCTTGTAGCTCGTTCCTCCTAATTCACTCGAGGTTTGATCAGAAAGGTATTTGTGCATGACAGAGGCCAGCCGGCGACGGCTATCGGTTTTGTCTTGAGGCGATGCAGAGGCGTAAGCAGACCGCTGACATGCATTGGTATTGCATGCCATCGGTCGACGTCGGGAGACTGATGGCAGGCGCTGCTGTTGCAGGCGTCAGAGCTGGCGTCCGAGAAGGGAGACTAACTGGCCTCTGAGAAGGGAGACTGACGGCGGTCGCTGCTGTTGCAGGCGTCAGAGCTGGCCTCTGAGAAGGGAGACTGACGGCGGTCGCTGCTGTTGTAGGCGTCAGAGCTGGCCTCTGAGAAGGGAGACTGACGGCGGTTGCTGCTGTTGTAGGCGTCAGAGACGGCCTCTGAGAAGGGAGACTGACGGCGGCTGGTGCTGTTGCAGGCGCCGGAGTTGGCCTCTGAGAAGGGAGACTGACGGCGGCCAGTGCTGTCGCAGGCGCCAGAGCTGGCCTCCGAGACCGTAGACTGACTGGCCTCTGAGAAGGGAGACTGACAGCAGCCGCTGCTGTTGCAGGCGTCAGAGCTGGCCTCCGAGACCGTAGACTGACTGGCCTCTGAGAAGGGAGACTGACGGCAGCCGCTGCTGTTGCAGGCGTCAGAGCTGGCCTCCGAGAAGGGAGAGCTGAACTCGGAGCTCGGCAAGCTGCGGTCGGAGCTGGAGTTCCTGCGCTCCTCCAAGGACAACGTCTCCAAGGAGCAGCTGGAACAGGTGCGCCGCAGCTCCGAATGGGCCGCATATAACACCAGTACTCTTAACATTCTTACTACGAGCGAACACCTAACCACGAGCGAGGCCTTCCCGATCACCATCATCACCTCAACAATCACGGATTGAGGCTTGCTTCAGCTGTGAAAAATTTTCAGCGCGAACAGCCTGGCCCAGTGGGCCGCCACGCTTTTAAGATGCCCTCTTTGCAAGTACCCGCCTTAGGTTAACACGCTTCACAGCTTTTAGAAACGTCATTTTCTAAACCTTTATGGTATCAACTATAGGCATTGGCACGTATAATGCTTCATGGTGCGGTTTGTGTCCCTCGACGTTGAAAAATCGCCACGATTTGACCACCATCTCCGATTTCCTTAGAAAAAGTCTCAGATCGTAAAAAGTGAAAGACGATGATCGAAACCTGGTCAAAATGTCGCCGAGCTGACGTCAAGGCGACAGGAAACAAACTAATGCGTAGGAACGAGCCCTTTCACGTTAGCGCTTATTCGACTGGTTCTTAATTTGGTTCCGCTGCACTTCTCAAGCATTTAATCCTGAAATACATACCCAGAGGATGGCCAGGGAGAAACCCATCGTTTGTCGTGAGGCCTGTCAAAATAGCCGATGAACTTTATTCCAGAAGCGTTTTGTTTCGTCATTGTGTACCAGCTGCTTGATTCACGTTTTTTATTTGGTCCCATAAAATCATAAAGAGCTGCAAAGGTGAAAGGACGAGTGGGTACATGATTGAGACCAATATGCCTCCATAGTGAAAATATGCAGGTATGTTGGTGGCCCTGACGGCAGACCAACGGTTTTGCTCCCGTGTATACTATTCTTCAAACAGGTTATATTTTGCGCTAAGTAAAGTGTCTGATGTCTAATAACGCTTGTGAGGAATAGACCTACGGGAGATCAGACAATCGCGCAGGCAACACTGAGGATCAACGAGCGCACAGCGCACACCAACATCTTCTACCCTGTGCACACCAACGACAGCTACCCTGTGCACGTGAGGGGTCTGCCCGTTTTGGGACCCTCTATTAAAGATTGGTGTTTGATCTCAACAGCCGGAGCGGGGGAGGACGGGAAGCCAACTACGCAGCGTCGGCGACTGTAGCGGTTACAAATCGCTGGCGTATTTCAAACTCCGGCCCGTGGCTGTACCAGGAGTCGACCAGACGGTGGCCAGCGCCGCCTTGTCCGGAACCGATCCCATTGCGAAACTCCGCGGCCGACTCCGGTAGCGGTCGAGCTATGAGGATTACACAGACGTAAAGCCCTATTAATTTTGAGCGTTATTCATCCAAATTGTGAGTTTTTTCGGTGCTGTAGTCACCATTGCCAAGACCGTCCAACCTTATCGCCCAAAACTCTTCGACTTCATCAAATGGAATTACCAAGGATGACGTGACTCACAACAGGACGTTTTGTGGCATAATCTTAGTTGTGAATTAGCTTGCAAACACTGCATCACTAGCCTTCCTCCTGCTAAATTGTCACGAAAGCGAGTTCCCTTCACACATTGTATACCCATTGGTATCGGTCACGGAAGGTGTCTGTCTCTAACAACGTAGTTTTTGACACCGTCTACAAACCGCCTGAAGCGTCTGAAGCCGCATGAAAACCGACCATTCTCCCACCCGTCGCCGCCGCACTCGTCCCGCGCAACATGAGGCGTTCTATTGGCCGGTATGCTGCCGGATTAAAGTATGAACGCTCACACGGCTGGCACTCTCGGGTGCTGGATAACTCGTGTGCTGGGTTCCTTTTGAGTGACTCCATGTCACTAAAGACAAACGTTGCATTACTCCGTTATTGGAGTAATACAGTGTATTGCTCCAATAATAGCATTGTATTCCTCCGTAAGCACTGTATACAGCCTGAGTTAGTTGTTACGTTATACGTCCTCCCACATATGACCTCGTAAGTATCGTTGCACATTGATCTCTGCTTAACGTTGGTCTGTGTAGAAGGCTGAACGCTGTCAAGTCGGCAACCTAATCACTCACGCGCATTCGGAGCCTGGAGTTGTTTACTGGCTGCTGGATTTAGAGGCCATGATCCGTGGGTCCCCTCAGCATCGGTGGTCCCTCCAGCTGCATGCCAAACTAGCCCCATAGGTAGCCGACGACACAGCACGTCCAGCGCTCATGGGCCCAGCGGCACACGCGGAAGTCAATGATGCCCGTGTAACGATGGCGTCTGCTGGGGGTCATGCGGCGCGCGGCGCACTGCAAGGGCTGTGACCGTCCTCGTCGCCATATGCTGTGTTATGTGTCATGACCCGCGTGCCTGACCCGCGCGCCCGCCGCCCTGACGTCACGCCATGTACCCTGACCCGCGGGCCTGTCCCGCGCGCCTGCCGCCCTGACGTCACGACATGTACCCTGACCCGCGGGCCTGTCCCGCGCGCCTGCCGCCCTGACGTTACGTCATGTACCCTGACCCGCGGGCCTGTCCCGCGCGCCTGCCGCCCTGACGTCACGCCATGTACCCTGACCCGCGGGCCTGTCCCGCGCGCCTGCCGCCCTGACGTCACGACATGTACCCTGACCCGCGGGCCTGACCCGTGCGCCTGTTGCTCTGACGTCACGCTATGTACCCTGACCCGCGTGCTTGACCCGTTCCCTGCCGCCCTGACGTCAGATCCAGGGCCAGGCTAGCACCGTGCAACGCGAGCTGGAGGCCAGCCTGCAGCAGTCCGAGTTCAGCAAGACGCTGCTGGCCGACGAGCTGGACACCACTAAGCACAAGCTGCAGGAGATACGCTCCCAGCTGGAGCTGGCTGAAATGGTGCGCTGAGGATGGGCAGCAGCCGGCCAGCGGTGCCTAGACGCCGTGTAGTGATGCGGACCACAGGCGGGTGGTGGTCATGGGCCCGCCGATCCACATCATGGGGAAACCAGCCGCAGCTGCGCCTTCGGCTGTCGAAAGATATGTGGCTAGTAGCTCATAACCAAGTGAGCATAGGAATAGGATTATAGTAATAAATACACAATGGATACCACCTACTTAGATGGTACGAATAGTTTTAGTACAAACGGAAGACCTATACCTCTAGTTGAGGAGATATGCATTTTTAAGATTTGTTCCTTACGAGCCTGGTTTTCTGCAGCCTCCGAGCATATGGCACCGGTATAATATGCCGATCGCAACTGCGCGTTTCCGTGTTGCAGGAACTGGATCACAAGTTTCAGCAGACTGCTGCGTATAGAAACATGAAGAAGCTGCTGATGGAAAAGAATTCCAAAATTAAAGAGCTCAGGTCGAAGTTGTCTGGTTACGAGAAGGAGGATGTTAAGGAGGAGGAGGAGTGAGCAGTGATGAGTTGATGTGTATTATGCTATGCTTCGTGTAATGTTGTTTATGGATGTCTTGACCCAGAGAGCTTTGTCAATATTTGCTATGTTGCCGGCACGTTTAATGCAGTACGGGGACTTTTGTGCCCGGATTATTTGTTGCGGAAGCACCCTAATGAAGGAAAAACAGACATGAATGCGATACGTGGTGCCTCCAAGCTTTCTCAGTCTACTGAGAGCTGGCACTTCCGCTCTCCTTGCCTCTAACATTACTTTGCAATAGCAAGATACCATGCGTCAGGCCTGTTATTAGATTTCACCGTGTTGAATTGAATCGATAACCCAGCCAATACACAAGTGTGAACCAGAGCGGTGGACATATCCTGACATGCATGTGCGCGTCCGCTGTCTCGTGTCGGAGGGACTTCGGCGTAACAGCTGTTGCGGCCAGTGACCATTGTCCAGTAGCCGGGGAGCTTTCCCTGGGGGGCCATTGCGCGTGCGTTGGCCGGTGGCCGTCCGCTGTGCCGGTCCGCTCGAGCACAACACAAAGGGACGTGCCTGACTTTACGACACGATAGGCCGACCTGCAGTATGGCAGGTTATAAAACCCCGCAGGAGAATAGCCAAGTAATGAGCTCAATAGGGGGCGTGATTAAAATGAATTGGGCACGTGATTTGTGTACTGGCGAGCTCACTCGGATGTGAAGGACAGTTGGTCGCTGGCTTTGCTTCGTGAAGTATCTGCTGGACGCGTACACTACGCTGCCCGGTTTGTAGGCTGACAGGTTTGTAAGCCGCTGTCAGAGAGCGCGGATCATTCACTAGCGGCCAGGTCAGTCAGCACACACTGCCGAACTTCGCTCGCTCGGATTGGTGAGACGCTGGGTGCTAGCACATGCGCTGACAGAGAAGAGGGGATAAACTGCGATGACCAGTACTGCAGTGTGCAGCCAGCTGGCGAAAGATTGCTTCAGCCAGTAACCGACAGCTCTATCAGTCTCGCTATGTGGAAAGAAACTATTCTAGTTTAGAAGACGTATGATTTAAAGAAAAGAGTGATCTTTTTGGAAATCGGAAACAACTTTATTTACCCTGCGTTTCCGGAATGTGATCGAGTGAGTTATGATCCTTCATCGCATGAAGTTTACGAAAAATCAAGGGATGCGAGTGAAGACAAAATTTACAATATGTTTAAATGTACCAGTGGAGGTGGAAACAGTGACAGTAAAAAGGCCCCATTTCCGAGTCTCAACGATTGGAACCACTTAATTGTATGCACTCCGCTCACCAAGAGGATGTGGGGATGAAGATCAGCGCGAACACTTCTGGTTTGGGGTGGACGCAGCTATCACCAAAAAGAAGTGCAGTGCAAAACATGTCACAACATGGCTTCCCCATCTGTCGGCGGATCCATGCCAGGCCAATCATGTTTGAGTTCCCATTCGAAATGGTCTGAGTCGATTATTTTGAGCTCTCTGGCAACCTCTTTATTAAACATGTTTAAAACGATGCTCCGATTGCGTCGATGTCAGCCAGAGGTCAGATGGGTTGTTAACCACCCTGGCATCGGAACGTCATCAGTCCTTTGCGCAATGGAGAGTCCTGAATGTCACTGAAGCGGGCGACAGACCGCCTTGTAGTGAGGATCAATTTGTGGCGTTCCTCACTCATTTGGGGCTAATCACAGGCTGTCTTCGCCGTATTTTTGCTAGAACCAATAGGAGCGCTGAGGTAGCCTTTGAAGGGAGTGTGCCACTTTCTGGGTAAATTAAGAAAACATGGTCTGGTGAAAGACCAGGAACAATTGCGTCTAGTCATGTCAATTATGAATAATTAATAGCATCCGGAAGTGCTATTGGAGAACCAGCAAGAAATCGTTTCTGATGCATTTATGTTTTTAGGTAAATGAAAATTTGCTTTTGGGCACGATTTGCACAGTCATTGGCTCAGCATAGCACTAGGCTTATGGCTTCCTTTTTACTCCAGATGATATTTCTGGAATGGGTGATTTGGGCGTATACAAGCCATTTAAGTCAAACATACGCCGTAAGTCTGCGGCTGTGCGCGGGGATTTCACTCTGATCTGGTCGAAAATTGGCATGGCAGTTGGCATGACAACGACAATGAGCTACTTACCAAACCACCAATTAGGCCTTGGTACACATCAAGTGTTGCGGTCTGGATATACTCAGCCGGTATGAGTGACGTCAGTTGAAATAAGTTTGCCATCAGTAACCGATAGCGTAAGGCATTTAGCGATAAGGAAATATTTTCCCGAATGCTCCCTTGAAGTACGAGCAAGTCGGTTGAATTACTATCTTAAATTTACGATGCCCCAGCTCAGTAATGCTTCCAACATAACTGGACAACATCCCTCAAAAGTAGGTCAATTCGCTCAAAAACTAAGCGCATGAGCATCAAACTCTCAACTCCTCGTCTGTATGTTCAGCCTCGGAAATGTTTTACGCCTGTGCAGCAGTTCTTACAGCCGTAAATCCGCGTGGTCTCCTCCTGTGGCTAAAATTGATGCTTTAAAGGTGGTGTTTTTTACCTTGTTCCAGTGTGACGTAAAAAACCTATCATTGTTCACCTATTGGTGTAAACGCTCTCCGCAAACGCTCGCATCCAGGGTGTTCATCAAACCGGTCACGAACGCTTCTTTCGTTTTGCTACATTCCCAGGGCGGTAGTTACAAGAGACCTTATATACCGCGTTCTTCCATGCGCATAATGTGTGGCGAGTCATAGTCCCATTTGGAGAAGCTGGGATCTCGAGGGCTGCTCGAAGTGACATGGCCTTTAGATTAGCACCACCAGCCTACGCTTTCCTAACGCCGCACAAACCACTCGATGGTACGGTGCTATTCACTTGTTTTCACGCATTAACACCTGCGAACAGGAATTTCACATAAAGACAATTGCTTGTTTCGCCGTTCTGTGGCTCTGTTGAAAACCTGATGTATCGTTGAACAGGGACGTGCACAGCATTTTAACATTGCGGGGGCGTAGCTCAAAAAGTAAAAACCGGAATAAGCGCACCACAGGCGCACGCAAATTTTTGTGACGTTAAACACAATGGCGTGTTCTCGGTCTTTTCATTTCACGTGTCTACCTCGATTTTTAACTCAGCATTTAGTACCATACATATTCATGCATGTCATACATTTGGTAAGCGGAGGACGGACTACCATTTACGTGCCCCTGTTCGTAAACCGAGGATGTGCTGCATGACGACGGATCTTGCTCGGTGCCGCCGATATCCGCTCTCACAGAATAGGAGGGATATTTAGCACGACACCGCTCACGGGACACACCGATCTCGCCATCAGTGTCATAAAGACTGCTTTCTTAGAAGTCATGCTCGAACTCCACCGCAGTATGAGGGCAGCCATGGGTTTACAGTATCGTTTGGCGGTATATGTTGCATCTGGTTGCATAACAACAACGGTGTCAGGAATTGAGATTGACGCATTTTGTGTGGAGCATTCCAGAGTGAAATAAATTTTTGCGTGGTGCTAATGCGCCTTTGCAATGTAATCTTAGCGTAGACACAGCCTCAAAATGCCTGAATTGCTTAAGAAACAATTGCTTCCAAAAATAGTTGTTTAAGCAGCACTTCCTCTTTACCTGAAGGTCAATTATTTTAGACGAATACGAGCCGGTGTTATGCCTGATGGCGAAACACCATGGAGCAAGGCCATGCTTGCTTATATCAACTTCGAATTCAGGTCAAAGCGCGGGTCGTGCTTGTCATTAAGACGATTCATTATGCATACAACTCCATTTTCCCCTCGAAAAACCTTTCATGGACGATGAGGCGAGAACTATTACCGCTGGTCAGATCAGATCATTTCTATGATGTTTTCCTGTGACTGCACCCAATTCTAAGCTTTCCATAAAACTGCGGTTTGATATGGGCTTGAACTAAGAACTCCTTATTTCGTTAAGCAATCTTTTGTTGGACAACTTTTCCGAAACAAAGACAAAACAAACCTGACATTGGGGACACAAATTGACGTGGCCGAAATCCGGAGATAAATCAGGTTTTGCCCTTTGTTAAGTCAGCCTCATCGGCCGAGCCTCCCCCCCCCCCCTCCCGCGACCCCACCCCAACTTATTTTAAATACTGGCACCCATGCTTCGGGGAGCAGGGCGTCTAATTGTAGGACTCACGAGCGCATGTTCTCCGTGCAGTAGATGTTTGGGGAGCAGGCCTTCCGGTCTGACCCCACGCTGACCCCGGTGCACTGTCGTGCGGCCGCTGACTGACCCCGGTGCACTGTCGTGTGTGGGCCGTTGACTGCTACTAGTGTCGCCCCAGCCAGCAGCGCCGTTGTACTGAACTCATTCAAGCCAGTACCCCGAGGATAAAACGGCCGTCGTTCCACTTCTGGACTGTATGTGGAGAGGAGTTCGTTGGGATGCAGCTATCAGCGACTGCGCCTTTTGTGACCCTGAAGCGGTCCCACTGAACAAGGAAGAGTGTCGGTTTTCACCGCTGGTGTCGAGGCAGACAGCGGAATGTGTGGACTTTGTAACATTGCTGGGAATGTAGGGTCAAAGGAAGCGACCCGACAAACGTCGCTATCCCAGTTCCGGCATTTGCCCATCTCTGCGCTGCTTTGTGTGTGCCCGCGGTCACCTATCGCTCCACCCGTCTGCTGCCGGGACTCCAGGCGACTCCAGGGTAGTGCAGGAGTGCCTGAGCCCTGGAGTGCGCGAGCTGGGTAGCAGGCCGTAGTGCTGCACCCCCGGGCACATGATCCTACAGATTGGTCAGCTGGTCAAGCGATGATGTCCGATGATACGGTGGCCTATCACGTGTCAGTGGTCCTTTGCGGGTTAACTGGGACTAATGTGTGACTTCCGCAGGTTGTATGAGTATTTGTACAGTAGTATTTATATATTATATACGGTAGCAACACAATAGTATTTGCTATGGGCTGTTTTTCAATTGAACTTACGGCGATGTGGTGTTTCTGAGAGGTTGTATTCATGGATTTGCTCCTCAAATTA